ATCGCTTCCAACAAAATTGCTGACATTCAAACAAAAACCTCATATCCTCTTTATATATGTGTACGCTGTTAATTAATAGAATAGGAACACTGAATTCAAACTTAACAATTACAGATATGACTTACAGATATATAGGAACAATAAAAGGCGACTTGTATCATAAAACCTGTTCCTCCTACAGACCAAACAAAAACTGCTCAATTATGGGCCCCATCCAACTGCCTCTTATCTCCTGGTCCAAGTTCTGACTAGGTACTCCCTGATTTCCAGAAGTTATCTCTCAAATATTTATCCAACTTCACTGTTCAAATATGGGGTCTTTCTCTTCACATACAATCTTTCTTCCCTCCACACCCACCCCCTCTGACTCCCCATCCCGCACCAGCAGCAGAAATCATTGAATCCCTTGACAATGAATGTGAGTCAGCTCTGGCTGTGTCTAATGAACGACACTGCATTGAGTGCAGCCATTGCGATGTTTATTTGTTGGGGATGACAGGCAATTTCAAAGTTTAGGTCTCAACCGCAGTGCAGAGGTTGCTGTAACATGACATCAGTGTCTACTACAGGCTGATGCCGATGGGTGTCTCTTTCCAATAAGAGATAAATTGGTTGGGGGGGACCGGGAACAGTCTAGCTTGAGCATAGAGGACAGGCTTTGGTGGCTCATGTGACAGAAGAGTCACGGGTGGTTACCATATGTCCTCACAGTTTATGCAGCAGTATCTCGCACGTGTCTGGATGAATGAATTGAACGAATAGAACAAGTACATTACAGGCAATATTAAGCAATAAGTCACAACGGTTTTAAATCTCTGCCGGCTGCTGACCCTGAATTCATATCCTTTTTGAAAGAGAATAAATCCCTTTTATTATCTCTCTGATACTGCAGCTTATTAAGAACAAGACCAATCCTGTGGTTTTCCTGCTCTCCTATCCTGTAGGATGGCCTTTGGCTGTTGTTCATTGCCTCTCCACTGTGGCATTGGTTGATGTTAAAGATTGGAAGTGTGCTACCTGGGTCCAAGACGTGACACACTAAGCGAAAAGCAAGATGGCATCTCGCTGCATTTTCAACCATGTTTTGGCATTTTTTAGACATTAATAATAATCCTTGCATTTGATATAGCACTTTTCACGTTGGGAGGACGTCCCAAAGTGCTTCACAGAACACACTGTAAAGTGAATTGACTGTATATTTGTGGGCGAATGCGGCAGCCAATTGCGCACAGCAATGTCCCATAAACAGTCGTAGATTGAAAATGACCAATTTATTATTGTTTTTGGTTTTGGAGGGATTATTATTAGGTGTGTGGAGTAAGGAAACTTTCCCAAGGTTTCACCCTCTGCCTGGAATTGAACTCAGGTATCTCACTTGCAAAGCGAGTGCTCTAACCACTGAGCTACAGGACTCCAGTGGAGGGGGTGGGAGAGATAAGCAAATAAAATGAAGAAATTAAGCAACCTTATTGGAATGGAATGGTTTGGGCATTGGGTCATTTTGATCCCTATAATTCTATGAAATCCAAGGAACAGATGTGGGCTCTACAGCATTAACATTCTGTTGGCATTGCAGGTTAGATGCCAGTGACTCAGAGAGAAGGTGGAAATGTCATGTCTCAAGACCCGATGACAAACTTTCTCGACTGGAAAGGGCACATCAAGGGTAGATTCTAGCTTCAACTGCATTCAATCTGACAACAATACGGAGAAATTCCACCTGGCTCCATTTATATAACATTATAGCATCAAAAAATTGGCAGTTTTTTAAATGCTCCCTTAATTTTGAAGCCAGCTTTCTGTACATTTATTTCCACGACTATGGAAAACTGACATGAAAGTTAAGGCTGAATTCAACAATTTGCCAAATTCTGGACAGTATAAAATGTTACATAAATCAAATCAATCTAGACGCAGGTAGAATTCGCACCAGGCATTTTTAGTGGCCTTTTAATGGACTGAAACCAAGTGCTAAAAATCAAAATGTTTCTTCTGATGTGTGCCAGTAGAAAGCATTTGGTGCACTGCAGTGTTTGTTCTGGAGTAGAATTGTAACTAGATTGACTGTGATCCAAGACTGTATAATGTAAATCGACCAGGTCCACACAGGCAACACTGTCAATGTTTGCCTGCATCTGCGTAAAACTGTCTCCAGAGACAAAGAAGTGACAGGCAGCCTGAAACCACACATATGCGTGAAGGCACTTACAAGAGAGCTTTCTGTCTTGTACCAAATCCTTTTTAGCTTTTCCATCACAATTATTTTCATTTTCACGATTGAAATAATTCTCTATTTCCTTCAACGTGAATCCTTTTCCACATCCAAAACCGTAAACACTATGTGTGTATTCGTATAGTCCCTGCAGATGATGCATTTGTAAATCTCACAGTGTTGGATTTAAAAGTCAGACCCACAGTTTATAACTATTCCTGGTGAAAAGACTCCCCTTGAATATAGTGTACCTCAGGGTATAGTTCTGTATGGAGAATCTCCAATGACAAAGGACAGGGAGATAAATTCTTGAGGAGTTGCTTTTGAAACCAGGGCATTGTTGTATTACAACAAATCCACAGGCCCATTGCTCGGTGTAAAACTCTGTGTAGTTTGATCAGCCTGTGGTTTTTACTGGGTGTGGCATTGTTAACATAAGCAATCATATTATTCCCATTATAAGCCTGTAATGAAAAGCACACTAATGTTAACGATCAACGTCTTATTTATGAACCATCTGAGTGTTACTGTACATCTCTGCGGAGATGTTTCCTGGGCTCTAGAGAGACATGCTTCAGCAGGGAACTAGGATAAATGGTCTGTCTGATTTTGAAACCAATCATTAAGGGGCACACAGAGGGCTAAGACATTTATGTATGTGGATTTACCCAATAATATTGTTTCCATTTACAGGAAAACCAAAATCTTAAGGTCTGTGCATCATCTTGCTGCTCTTATGCATTCGGTAAGAGTTAGCACCATTGTGTTGCATGTTGGCAAACAAAGGAAGGAAAATGTTTGTCAAATACTCTTATGAAGGCAATAAATACACAACTACCCCATTATAAACACAATTGGCTTTCAGATTGCCAAGGTTTCATGTGGATGCTGCAGCACAGAAACTGATTTAGAAAAATCACAGGATTTGCAAGTCGAAATTCATTCTTATGGTACAAGTCAATGAATAAGTATCAATACAGGTATCATGCTAACCATTAATATACTGGTGTTTTCAGAGGGATGTGTGCAGGGGACGTTACTATGTTGTATGACTCTTGTCTTCACCCAAAGCCTCTACCCCTCAGGGATTAATTTATGTAAGGCAACGTTCTGTGTTACTAATCTTCGCCAGTGCTGAGATGGCAGGTGTCTCAACTTTAAGTGGAGTCCTGTAGCTCAGTGGTTAGAGCACTCGCTTTGCAAGTGAGAGACCTGAGTTCAATCCCAGGCAGGGCGAAACCTTGGGCAAGTTTCCTTACTCCACACGCCTAATAATAATCCCTCCAAAACCAAAAACAATAATAAAATTTGCATTTTCAATCTACGACTGTTTGTGGGACATTGCTGCGCGCAATTGGCTGCCGCGTTCACCCACAAATTTACAGTCAATTCACTTTACAGTGTGTTCTGTGAAGCGCTTTGGGACGTCCTTCCGACGTGAAAAGCGCTATATCAAATGCAAGGATTATTATTATTATTATTATTATTTAAGGCAGGAGAAAGACATTTGCAAATCACTATTTACAAATAAGGAACAAATAAGGGTTGTCCCAGTTTAGCTGAAGATCAAAGGTGGCAAGGAGTGGTTATTAATGATAAAGTTTAGTGATGGTTTACAATACCAGGAACATATTAGGACTTGTGCCACAATCTGCAGATACAATCTCTACCCTGTCAGAATTGGGAAAGACAACTGTCCCAGGAAGAAGTTGGAGGAAACAAAATGATTTTGAAGCATTTTTCTTAAACATACTGTTTCTTTGAAATGCTATTTTAGAAATAATTTTGTTTTTAATAAGTCAGTTATTTTCTGTTTGGCAACAGCCAGGCTTCCTCATGAGATCTGCATTTATTTTCCGCGAAATATGCAGTTGTCTTGAGCGGGTGCTGATGTGTGAGCCATCCAGCTGGTCAGTGACAAATCCGACACACCTGTCAATTTCACACCGGATTATAATCTTAATAACCCAGTAATTGGTCTAAATCTGACCATTGACTGCAATTCCAACTGTGGACTGAGCAGAGACTAATGCACAGTCCGAAGAAAGATGTGGTTCTATTTCCACGATGTTCTGACATCATCAACTTGTATCAACGTGTCTCAGTTTTTTTTAAAAAAAAGAAAACCGTGTTCGATATGGAATGAAATAAAGCGCATGATCGGAAAGCATATTCTCTGTGACAGTAGTATCCTCATATAGAGGCAGGTATTGAATGGGATGCTCAGGAGAATTTCATGGTGGCTCCCCCTCTTATTTCTTTTACAAATTAGTGACTTTTGTTTGTAGTCTCAGTTTGCGAGGCAGTTCGTTAAATGGAGGGACAAAGTTTAATGTGAATGCATTGACTTAGGTACACGAAGGGTTCAACTGAACTTAATGGGAGTCAGTTCCAAACGTTTCCTAAAAAGCTATTTGGACTTCACTGAACTGGATTTCCCAGCGGATTGCACTGCTCTGTTAGAGGCAGAAATCGGAGCCTGACTCAATAGCTCATATTTGTGTGAGTTGACATACAGGTTTAGGAGATTCATCTCTCTAACTCCTCGCCCCCACCCCTTCACCCACTCCTGGTGCATTTGATATCATTTTGCCCGTTAACCAAGCCATTAATTTGAAACTTTGCAGTTCGCAGCTTTCACAATTCTTTGTAACTTGAATTTCTGGGAAACTCAAGGACTCTGGTCATTTTGAATCGAATGCCTGCACAGAGGTGCGGCAGGCTTGAAGTGTGGGTGTGTTTTCGCCAGGTGAGAGACTGTTATTCTGTCCACTTCTGTTTCCCGCAGCTCCCTCCACTGTTCCCATTATGCATCAGGTGAGCTCCACAATGAGTAGCATCACTCTGTCGTGGCCACAACCGGAGCAACCAAACGGGATCATCCTGGATTATGAGATTCGATACTATGAAAAGGTATGGAGGAGCCAACAATAACCGTTCTCTTACAGTCGCTGTGTTTTAAGGGTTGGTATTTGCTTTGCTTCAGCACAGTTTGTGTAGTTTCCAAATGGATGCTGTCTGAAGCTCGTTTTAATGTTTGCTCTTGCCAAGCAAAATGATTCACTACTTCCACCATACCCAAAGTCGTTTTTGAAGCAATCAGTGAAACCAAACAGATCATATTTACAGCATTAATATTGCATGCTGTCACATTTTGAGATGATAACTTGGTGCACAGCACAGTGTATTGTTTTGGTTCTGTTAGAACCTCAGTTACCAACTCCCAAGTACATGGGAGTATTTCAGACCATCCAGCACTCCTCAGCTCTCATCCTCTCCCTCACTAGCCTCCATAAGCCACGTTCCTCCATCTCTTCTTGGCTCCACTGGTTAGTGGGCAAGCGAGTGGAGATCATCTTTTCACAGGTTTCTTTACTTAGCAATGGAAAGGGGGTCCCTGGATACACTTATTTTGTCTGGAATCCACCTGTTTTGAGTCAACAGTTTACACTTGAGAGTTGGAAATTTCACACATTTTTGCTTTCAAGTCTTGAAGGCTCTAATCTGAATCAATCAGTTCCCAGTAGCATACTAAAGAATAAAAAGGACACTGGTCAGAAGTGGGATAATAATTTTGAGGAGGGTGGAGGGAAAGGGGGAATTTCTGGTTGGCTCTCAGTTGTTTTAAATCATCAAATAAAAGATGGACAGTCCGTATAATTCAATGTGTAGTTAGTGTGAAGTGCCCAGGTTTTGAAGTGAGCTTAAACACAAGTGGTAATTGATTTTTGGAATTCAATGTTTGTGTTAACCTGATGCTTTGATCTGTTTTGACCCAGCCAGACATCCTCAGCAAATTGTTTTATGCTGCAATAATATAATCTGCGGGGCGTCTGTGCTGCAAAGCCAAGTTTGGCACCTAATGTAAATGCCAGGCCCAGGTGGAGTGAGCACGCTTTACATCAGATCAGACCGTACACACTTACAGTTTTTATAAGTTTACAATTTTTTTTATATATAAGCATATATGTTTGGGGTCTAATTGCCAGGCAAAAACGATGGCCCACAAAACACACGGTTTCTATACTTTACAGTATATGCTGTGAAGTGCTTTGGGGCATCCTCCCGACTTGGAGGGTGCTGTACCAATAATGTCAGGATTATTGTTACTGTATAAATTACTGTGCAAACTCAGTCAAGTACAGATTACTCTCCAGTGACCCCCTGTTTGAAGATACCCCCTGCCCACCTCCCCTTCCTGAGTTCCCCCGAGGCTCACAGAATGACAAATGTCCACTTGGGTGAAGTAGCCAGAGGGTGTCCAGTTCATGTACCATACACCAGTGCCTACAGAACAGAAGGAGAGAAAATATGAGAGAGGAAGAGTCAAATGATGCCACCAGGGCCATTTTATAATGAGTGAATTCCAGACGTATTTCTCATGATTCCACCAGGGTGAGACTGGGCCACTGAATAGCTCTGAAATTACAGTATAAGTGAAATATTGACTTTTGCAGCTGAAATCCAATTTTATGTGCATTGACTTTCCCTTTTACAGAAGAATGAGAGTATTGATTTGGCCACATCCAAAGTGTTTTTGTGTCCCTTTAGAAGGCATTGCTTTCCCTTAAATTTTACTGTAAAAAAAGAACCCTGGCTACTTCTTTTGATGTCTAGCAGACAGGGAGGTAATTGTACCTGCTCCACAGTCTACGTAATGACTTAAAATTCCTGTTATTAAGGGATTTCAAGCCCTATCAACACACTGGTAATTGGATATTTCACTTTGCTTTCTATGCTTCGCCAACTAGCTTTTCTTCCAATCCAGAAGCAGAGTTGTTCATTTGAAAGCTCTTGTTTTGTGTGTCTTTAAGGACTAACTTGTCTCCCAGATCAACATGTTTAATACTGCTTTTGACATTTGAGGGGTGAAATTGACAGTGCATGCTTAAAATGGGATTTTCCCATAAGAAAGAGAAATCAAAATCACTACACTTAGTGACTAGAGGAATTTCTTGTCTCTAGGTTTTATCTCCTATCTTTCACATTTGTTCGCTATGCCATTCCCCCCCCCCCCCCCCCCCCCCCACACACACACACACACACACACACAACTGTCGGAGAAAGTTTCTTCTGACTCTTAGAGAGTTGAGGACTTTATTTAAAGGTCTTGAAAAGATACCGATAGTATGACATTGAGAGAGATGTTTTAAACTGTCGCTAGGTTTGATGTTGTGAGTAACTCAGCCACAGAGTCCAACATCTGCATTCTGATCCATTCTTGTCCACCTTGTGAAAGCGCTGAGCAAAGTCAGGAGCTTTGATTTTCCAGTTGGTTTAAATTAATCACGGTTTGAATAGAATTCAAAGGGTTTTTCCATTTGGCTCACAAAATATACAATCAGTTCACTTTACAGTATATTCTGTGAAGTGCTTTGTGACGTCTCGAAGACGTGATAAGGCACTATATCAAATGCAAGTATTATTGTTATTATTTTTGAGTCCCATGTAACGATTTCTTTCCTTGTCTTGCAGGACCAGAATGAGTATAATTCTTCGGTGGTGAAGAGCCAGACAAACACGGTGCGAGTCGATGGGTTACGGCCTGGCATTGTCTATGTATTGCAGGTGCGAGCCCGGACAGTAGCTGGTTATGGCAAATACAGCGGGAAAATGTGCTTCCAGACACTGACAGATGGTAAGTTGTGCAGGAACTGCGCTGCCACTGAGAAAGAAAAAGATTACAGTAGCAGCGAAGCTCTTCATTAACTGGATTAAGTTAATTCCTTTGTACAAACAGAGTGCTCGATGCTCTGATCTGCATGCCTTTTCCTTTCCTCGTGCTTCTGAGTGCACCAAGTGCCTTTCGAAGTGCCTGCTCTTTTAATCCACATGAGGATTTTCTCGCCTTTTATCTCTTTAAAGTGGCAGCGCAGTATTCCTCAAGGCAGGGCTGGTACACGGCTATTTGGAGACCATTCTTCCACTTTGTGCCGAAATGTAATCTGGACCATTAAAAAAAACAATGAGGTCTAATGCGTGGTGTTTCTTGGTGGTATTCTTCAATGAGAAAACTCATTAGAATCCCCTTCAATCCACAGGAATACCACACTGGTAACCTGGATTAAGGAATCCCATTGAGAGATGGCACAAAATAAACCCCAATAAATCTCTCTCATTTCTAAAAAATCTGAGTTCTCTTAAAACGTAGGCTCCATTGGGGAAACCTGCTTAAGTCTCAAAATAACTGTTTCTTTCCCATTTGTTTTAAAAGACAATTTAAAGGGAGCGTCTAGCCACTGGCACAACATAAAAGTTTTGTTTGCACAGATTTACAAACACTCAGCACCCAGTTTAAAGACACAGCATCAAAATTCCTGAAAGACACCAACCTTCGTTTACCATTTATTTTGTGAATATCTGTTTGTTTTTTTTACAAAACTGGCTCCCTGCCCCCTCAATTAAAGGTACCATTTTTCCATTGTGATAATGACGTTAGAATCATAGAATTATACAGCAAAGAAGGGAGGCCATTTGGCCCATCATGTCTGTGCCAGCTCTTTGAAAAGAGCTTTCCAATTCAATCCCACTCCCCCACTCACTCCCCAAAGCCCTGAAAACTTGTCCTCCCCAAATAATTAGCTACTTCTCTCTTAAAAGTTGTTATCGAATCAGCTTCCACCACCCTTTCAGGCAATGCATTCCAGATCCAAACAACTCGCTATGTGAAAAAATTTCTCCTTATCTCCCCTCTTTCTTTTTACAACTATTTTAAATCTTTGGGTTACCCACCCACCCGCCAGTAAAAATAATGTTTCCTTGTTCACCCTGTCGAATCCCCTCATAATTTTGAAAACTTCTATTAAGTCTCCTCTTAACCCTCTCTGCTCCAAGGAAAATAATCCTAACTTCTCTATCCTCTCCTGATAACTGAAGTCCCTCATTCCTGGTACCATCCTGGTAAATCTATTTTGCACACTCCCCAATGCCTTAACATCCTTCCTAAAGTGCAGTGTCCAGATCTGAACACAGTACTCTAGCTGAGGCCAGTATTTTATAAAGGTTTGAAACACTGTTTTTAAACACCTTTTATAAAAGGTCTAAAACACAAACAGCCTTTGTCTGAGGCTAATTCATCCCCTAACATTTCCTCCTTCAGTACTTCACCTATTTCCATGTGTGAACCTGTGGACAGTCTATTTGACATTGGAAGGGCATCACAAATGAACCCATGGTAATGATAATGGCAAAGTTATTTGTCATTATATTTTCACTCATCGGAATTGGCAGTAACCGGGGGCTGCTCTCAGCCTTTCAATCTTCATGCTGAGGTAAAGTGCATCGCAGATTGGCCCATAAATCTGCTCCAGCCACTACATGAATGTAAAACAAAATCCTTCCACTCATTCATGGCTTTTTTAAAAATAATGAAAATATACTTCAGATTCTCCCTTTAGAGAAGGGAGCTTCTCCGGATGTCCTACCATTGAACTCCCAGATAAAACTGGTCATTCCCTTCATGGCTGTTTGTAGGAGATTGCTGCACGCAAATTGCTGCCATGTTCACCTACAAAGAACACAGTCACGACATTTTACAGTAAATCCTGTGAAGCTCCCCATACATGAAAGGCACTGTATTGAATGCCAGGATTAATTCTGGAGCACATTTCAACTGCTGTCGAGTGCCTACTGGTTCCTACTGTGGGTGTGAGCCCAGAAAGTGGATGTGGTGGTGGAGGGAACGGAACAGCCAATCTCAATCCTATCTTCACAATTTCACATATCTACCTTTTGCAGCAGAGTTCACTTGATGCCGATCGGGAGCAGAAATGCTGGCCCGTTTATTCATTCGCTTCTCTGGATCAGGCTGCCAATTGCAACATCCCAGCTGCAACAGCTAACTCAGCACATAGTCGATTCTACAAACCTACCACAAAAGGCACCTGAGGCTTGAAATTGTCATAGTCATGGTCTCAGCCTTGATCTAAAACTTTACGTTGGGCAGAATTCAGGAAAATTCTTATAAACTCTTAACTTTGAAGCCAGTTTTCCACAATTTGGTGCATCGCTACAGCAAGGTATCTGCTAGAGGCAATGTTGCACTAGCCCAGGAATCCAACCGGGGATTGTTGGTCAGTATTGCTTAGTGTTGTGAGGTATGGTGCCTTTATACATCATGCCACCTGAGTTAACCTTCCTGTCCTGCTCAAGCTGAGGAGGGCATTATTGCAGAACTGAAGGCAAGTTACTGGAACTTTAGCAACCTCCACCAACATCTTGGGCTAGAGAGATGCAAAATGTTCGAAACATGGATATGAATTCTGTCCATCAGCTGCAATGGATTTGGTTTGTGTCGAGCTTAATAGATTCATGTGGAAATGGGGTGAATTTTCCATTTCACTTGCAATGCACGGAAGTGATCAATTTATCTTGCTACACGTCTAAAGTCGTATTTTCGAATGAAAAATCTAGGGATGTTGTACGTCAGACAGAGAAGTAAAAATTGCTGCTTCTTACCTGCAGAAAAATACTGTGAACATATTCATTTGTTTGTTTTTGCAAACACAGTTTTCTTTACAATAAATGAGGAGGAGTGGGGTAATACTGTAATCATTTAGATTATCTAGTACAGTGATTGAAAAAAAAACAGCATTTGGTAGGAAGCAAGTCATTTGTACGCAGAGTGCGAACTTTTTCATTTATTTCATTGCAAAGAGGAGAAATAAAATATAGGTAACAAATAAGCAGGAATCATAATGTACAAGAAATCCTCCCTATCTCTAACTGACAAAGAATGGAGTGTCTAGCATGCATAGATAGACTTCTTCCAGCCCAATTGAACTCTGCAGGCACTACAACACTTCCAACAGATTAATGAGACAGTGCTGGTTTGTGTTAGTGCTGTATAACGTTCTCCGAGACCTTACTTGCAGTGAAGGTCACTGATTGATAACTAACTCTACTTAGACGTGCTTTATCTTCACACTGCTGTTAAGCTATCCTTTCCCAGGCAATAAAAAAAACAATCCTTTGAGTAATTTTTGTTAATCCTATATAGATCCAAAACAGACCTCTGTGAAGATGTATATGGGGGTGGTGGTGTAGTCGGGAACCCTCATAGCACACAATATGTAACAAGAGGAGCTTGTTAGTAACAGGAAATCAACAAGTCATAAATGCAGGCAGTGTTTCTTTATTTTGCATGAGTACCTTCTGGGATAATGTAGGCGTTTTCTATCAGATGAAAAATATTTAGCCATTAATTGATGGCTGGGAGTATTCTGAGACTCGAGTGTTTTATTTGTAGTCTCAAACCCCTCCACCCTTTTCCTGAGTAAGTTGGAGCCCGACGCTCACTGTAAAGCATTGTTTTATTACTAGGAGTGTTATGACTTTGCTGTTGCTGAGTCTCCAACTGTAATGAAAGTTTTCCAAGTTATCAATTGTTAAAGGGACGTTTGACAATCTGAAAGATGTGATGAGAAGGCAGGTATGTATGGTGGAGATCAGTAATAAAGGGTGGTTGTTTGGTCCAATGTCCTATAGTGGTCACCTGTCTAATTTGGCCTGCTTGTAGACTTCAGGAAAACAAACATTTTTGTGGCTTACAGGTAGGAGGAAGGAATTGCTTTGTCATAAAAGCAGATTTAAAAAATGCAGTACCTAATGAATTAACGTGATCATAAAGTCCTCTGAAATGACATGTGCAAGTGAAGGGAATGTACCATCTGTGAATGCTGAGCTTCTGGTATAGGGAGTCGGCAGCATTCAAGGAACATTCGACATGCTTTTTATGTTAAAAGTTAATCAGCGCCAAGAGGACTTGAAATGATAGAATTGGAGCTTTCAGTGTAATTGGAAAGCTCCTTCCTTTAATTTGTTTCCTTATTGATTGTTTGATCAAGTTCACCGGAGAGACCTTTGCCGTTTTCTCTCTTTGCAGATGATTACAAATCCGACCTGAGGGAGCAGTTGCCGCTGATCGCTGGCTCTGCCGCCGCGGGGGTGGTTTTCATCGTCTCACTGGTTGCCGTCTCCATCGTCTGCAGCAGGTCTTTATGGAAACTCGTCTGACTTTTGTAACAAAGCACGCGGTCAATAACCTGTACGCTGTGAATGGGAGAGGACTTGTTAAAACTTTTACCTTGAGATGAGCGAAGCACGTTTTTACAGTTACTTTGTGAGCCCAAAACCCTTCAAGGTGCCCGGTCTGTTGAATAGATATGCTTTTGGTCCATTAGTTTGTACTAATCATTGAGGTGGCCTTTGTCTGAGGCTAACTCATCCCCTAATTTTTCTTCCTCTTGAGGCAGGGACTTGCGCTAAGGTACAATGGCCCAAGCTCCAGCTACCTTCAATACTTCACCTATTTCCATGTGTGAACCTGTTAACATTGGAAGAGCATCATAAATGAACCCATTCCCTACCTGACCCAATGACCACACTACGCACAAATCCTCCCTCTCACTAGCCCAGGGACACCAAGACTACATAGTTTCCCAACTATCACTTCTACTGATGTGATCTGCCTCAGATTACAATCTAAACATCCCTGGTCTGGATGCCCCCAGCTTCACACCGTAGACTTTAGTTTTATTATTGTTCCTTTGCCTTAAAAACAACACCAGAATTGATCACTGCTCACATTGTAGGAATAGTTGTTCTTGGACAGATTTTATGGGGCCTTTTTAAATGCTTTGAGTTATTATTGTAATTTTTTTCTCTCCCCGGAAGTCTCCCCATACAGCGCACCTTCAGCAACCGAGAGGACTCACTTGTGTGTGTTTCTTTCTGGGACAGGAAGCGAGCGTATGGGAAGGAAGCCGTGTACAGTGATAAACTTCAGCATTACAGCACAGGTCGTGGTAAGTGTCCTCCATAACTTCTCAGAAATGAGACTCTCTGTATCCTGAGCACCATTTCTGCACCAGAATCAATACCAGAACATTATTTATTCCCAGGAATATTTTGCAAAGATAAATTTCTATCCTGACTATTTTCATTGCAAAGCTCTCAATCCTTTTCGTGGCTGGTTTCATAGAATCGTGGAAACCTGTAGCCTAGAAGGCCATATGGCCCATTGGGTCTTCACCAGCTCTCAGAACAAACTACTATCAATCTCATTACCCTGAACTACCAATGTGAGTAGCTATCGCTTCCAGGGATAAGATTGTTTAGAGCTGGAAGCCTGATTTAGATTTCCCACTTTGAATCACTTGCACCCTGGCTGAGAGGAGCTTTATGCTAACTCTTTAACATGCAGACCTTTGCTAACCATCACTAAATGCTAACTAGTGTTTTCAAAGTTGAAGAGCCCAAAGTATTAAAGTTTCAAAGAGTACATCTGATCAAAACGCCAAAAAGATTTGACTCATCAGCATTTATTCTGGAGCGTTGCAAATTGATGTTCCAATGAAACCATTTCCATAGGTTTGTCTTGGCAGCAGATGCAATGCCAAATCGACATGCAAAGCACAGTATTAACTAAAATAGATCTCCCATACACATTTATAAAACCTACTTGTTAAAATCCACAGTTTACTTGTTCCCCTGCGGAAACCAGATTTTTCTGTCAGTTTTCAGTCATTGACAGTGTTTCCATTGCTTTGACTGGGGATTAATATTCTAGTCATTCCTGGATATAGATTTGAAAGCTTCTCCTTGGGGGATCATGGTTGAAATCCGGTATGTGAGGTTCCTTTCCCCGCTGGCTGTAATTGTCTTGCATAGAATACATTCACTTAGGCTCAACCCCGTTCTAAACAGGACAGACCCACAGCACAAAATCACAACGGTCTAACGCGAGTTGATAATCGCAGGAATCGGCAGATGATGGGAGTGGGGAAAAAGTTGCACCTGTGCAGAAAGGAGGCATGGTTTTGCTTCAGAGTAGTGCAACCTTTTCTCTGCGTCTGTGCTCAGTACAGAAAGAGAAAAACAAACCCCAGCACTATTACCCGCCATCTTGACAAGCAAAAATACCACCAAGGGGAGAGGGGGAAAAAGATATCTTAAGGAGTTTGGTGGGGTTTTCTAACTTCATTTACTGTCTTGAATAAAGACCCCAAATTCAACTTGAATGCTCTGCAAAAGCAAGGAAAATTACTGGGAAAAGGAGGAGGTGAGGGTATCTGCCTGAGATTGGCAGAGCAAGGATTTCTTGACTATGGGCTATGAAGCAAACACCAAGTATTTGTAGAATAACTGCAGATGTACAGCAATATTTTACAAGGCAGTTCAAGTGAATTATTTTCTGCAGAGTAAATGAAGAGAAGTCTATTACTACCAGTAAATGCTAATGTGTATAACAGTTTATATCACGCTCATGTTTACACAACATACTGTTAATGGGAAGTTGTTAAAATCCCAGATGGTGCCAGCTGGCTAATCACACTGATCTAAAAATACACATTGAAATAAGCATTGCCACAGCTCAAGATTCGACATATTCTCATAATAATCTTGAGTTTACATGCAAGGACCTTCCGTAAATGTGGCAGACAATTGTTGCAATGTAGAGGCAGGCAAAATTATTTCATGACATCTTCGGTAAATCAAAACAATGCACTGGCTCTTTGTGCCGACAGGGCCATTATGTGTTGTTATAAAAATATAATCGTCAATTGTACATCATTGTAGAGACACTCATCATATCGAAATGTCACAAAGTTGATTTCTGTGAAGTGCAATGACTTGTGTAGTGACTGAAAGTAGGCAAACAAATACGATTCGCTTTTTATTTTGCAAAGAGAGATGCACAGAAAGAAAGAGGCTATATTTTTCTGTCGAAGACAAAAGCCATTTTGAGTAACGCTGGAAAGTGAAACTCGAAAACTCTTGAAAGCCAGGGTGTGGTTCAAAGGGGATGAATGGAGTTTGCGGATGACCCAGCACATGTATTGGGATGACTGGTCCTATTGTTTTATAGTAGCACAGTGTCAGTGGGGAGGGGGGGATGGAGAAGGCGTGTAACCTAATCCTGTCTCTCTCAACATCCAAGCTTAGCCTGTAGCACCGTGAAATGAGAAATAAAGTGTGTCAAATAATTTATGAAAAGTGGCGAGGAATTTCTAAGCTCTTGTGACGTGTGATTCCTCTTCTTGCAATAAAATGTTCACAATATCATATCGCACAGCTTCTGATGAATGTTTCATTATGCACGAAAAGGATTGTGTTACCTCTTGAAATGTGGGTTTTATTGAGGCTCGAGATCAGATTACTGGACATAAACCCTAACCCAACTCCAAGGAAGAGATGAAACAATAGAACATTTGAACCTTTCACCCCACCCCCTCCACCCCGGAATGTAATGAAGGAAAAAGGTGGGATAATAGCTTGCAGAATATTTGGAACATAATGTTCATTTTTGGTCCATTAACAGCAGAATTCCAGTTTCGCCCATGGCTAAGCATTTTGCCTGGCTATTGATACCAACTGGCAGAGAAGAGCTTCGCAGATGGAGATATGATTGAAGCACTGTGCTGCCAATGGCATAGTGTACACATTTACTATCTTTGTTTTACTTTTAACAATAAGGTGAAACATTGCTCATCCTATGCTATCACCTAGCAGAACATTTCAAGCCACAAATTACACAGTCAGTTCACTTTTAAAGTATATTCTGTGAAGAGCTTTGAGACTAGTCGAAGACGTGATAAGGCGCTATATCAGATGCAAGGATTATTATTATTATTATAACATGTGAGCAAACTTGGTATTTCGCTGCCCAGTGTGAACTTAACTCAGTTTAATACAGTGAGAGAGAGGGTAAGAATGTAACTGTCACCATATTCCTAATCCTGTAGCCCCAGGTACCAGCTTGAGCCACTTTAACAATGACTCTGTAATGAGCAGCAGCCAGCATTAAATTGCTCCCCTGAAGAAAAAAGCTTGCTTGCTCTAGCGGACGATGAGAAACAGAGCATCAGCATCAGAATATCCAATGCTGCTCCTCAGATCCAGTGGCAACTTTGACTGACGTTCAGCTCTCACATTTTAATGCAGTCACTGCATTAAGGGGAGAAAGCTGAGGCCGGCATATAATGGGACACAATTAATATTTCAAGCAATGTTCAAACATTTTGTGAATTAATATTTAAGCAGGACAATTAAGATTCGTTCCCTACTCGTGACCCATCAGTAATGATGTTGTAATGAGGTGGCGATAAATGCGCAAATATCAGTTATTGTGCAGCCACACAGGTGGGGGGGATGGAGGCGAGTGGAACCAAAGCAGAACTGACAATATATTTGATTCCCCCAAAGTCTTTGAATTCTAATGAATCTGGTCAGGATTTGTATTCTGTGGCTGATGTTGCAAACCTCTTCTATTTTACTCAAGTACTTTATGCAGTGCACATCATTGGAATTTTTATACCTTCAGCAATTCTGTTCGCAGAGCAAATGCTTTCCTGTAATGGTTTTGGAAAGTCATTGTTACTGTGAGGATGAATATATATGTGTGTATATATGAAGGCAAACGACTCCCATTAATCACAAGTTGCCTCATTTCAGTAGAGCTATAAATGGCATATTTTTAAGCCATTTCTCTGCTTCTGTCTTGTATGCAAGAGAATCGAAGTGCCATATTTTTCCCAGCAGATCAGAGCTTTGGTATTCATTACAAACAGCTGAAAGAGATAGGAAGTCCTCCAGCATAACAGCTTCTTTCTTTATCAAACTGCCATCACAGCATCTGCCTTGACTGATACCTACTGTCTCTTCCCTCCAGGTTCTCCCGGAATGAAGATCTACATTGATCCATTCACTTATGAGGACCCAAATGAGGCCGTTCGGGAGTTTGCCAAGGAGATTGATGTCTCTTGTGTGAAGATTGAGGAAGTAATTGGAGCAGGTACATCTTGTTGGGCTGAGATGCCGTGGGATTGATTGACTTCTTTTCCAGTGTGGAATGTACTTTGACCATTTATGTTCTAATTGGAAATTTATTTCTGCCTCTCTTTGGTGAATTCTTTACTCTTTCCACCTACTTACACCTCTCCCCTACGTCCCACAGGAGAATTTGGAGAAGTGTACAAAGGGCGACTCAAACTACCTGGCAAGAGAGAAATCTATGCTGCTATCAAAACCTTGAAGGCTGGCTACTCGGAGAAGCAGCGCAGAGATTTCTTGAGTGAGGCGAGCATAATGGGGCAGTTTGATCACCCAAATATAATCCGCCTGGAAGGGGTGGTGACAAAAAGTCGTCCTGTCATGATCATTACTGAGTTTATGGAGAACGGAGCTTTGGATTCATTCCTGAGGGTAAATATTAACATTTCTTGTTAATGGGACGAAATGTGCATCTCCCCAGATGTTTGAGATGTGTTTATTTTGTGGAGCAAAACAGCTTGCATTGTTCAAAATGTGTGGGCTTGAGTTTAAATGCATCTTGATTACCAATTAAACAAATTGTTCTTGTGCTATTTAAGCATAAGAACATAAGAATTGCTCGACGAAAGGTCCATCGAGTTTGCCTTCCACCATACTAGCAGTTGGATGCACGTGTGGTCTCCCAAACCATATACTGTATCCCAAGATATTATTTCCTAAAAGAAATTTTCTGATTTGCTTTTGCAAGAATCAACACTTTCTGCTTCCACCATCTCCTTAGAGAGCCTTTTCCATACATTTACTACTCACTCACTGAAATCATGTTTCCACAGATTTACAATGTGCAGAATGTGGCAAATTGTTGAATTCGATTTTAAAGCTTATTTTCTTTAGTTCTTAAAAGAACTTCCGAAAAATCGGCTTCAAGATTAAAGGCTATTTAAGTATTTGACAAGTTCTGCACTCTCCGAAATGTTCTGTAATGGGGTAAGTCTAGACCCAGGTGAAATTTGTACCACTTGTGTCCTCACTGAGCGAGACGGACAGCTTGATGCCAATTCGTACTAAATTGAGGCTTGGAGGCATAAACATGTCATGAACTCTGTGAGACAAATCCCTATTGGGAAGGGTGGACAAGTAGTTGATGACATTTTTCCTTTTCATCTGTACATTGTTGTACACTGTGGAACACTGGACAAGTAGATCCGATGGAAATGCGTCAATGTTCCATTTTCAAGAGCTAGCCGGTTCTGTTGTCATGCAGCACAGAGCTGGAGGACAGTCTGTCTGTCAAATTCTCATAAATCCACAGCTGACATTCGGTTTCCTAGTTTCCGGCAAGTGCTTGATCGTTAGATTTAGGAATCGCATCAGATCAGCAGTTAAATCATTTAAAGTATTGGCAATAATATGCTGAAGTTGATGGCTTTGGAGGCAATGTTTCACTGGGCTTTGGGCACGCAGTGAGGACAGTCTATTTCGAGTAAGTTACCGATTGATTTTCTCAAGATGCATTTGGGTTGTGAGTGCGAAATTTTCAGTCCTGAATATATTTCATTGTTATTTTCGTTCACAAATACAGTCACCTCATTTCACAGTAATATCCTGTGAAGCACTTTGGGACACAATGGTATTGGCACATGTAAAGCAGTGCTGTCAAGTGTACAGGGGCATTTGTGAGTATCCAGTATTATTGGTGAGGACACAGCAGTACTACAGTCTATGTAATGACATAGAGAGTTATTGGTAAATATACATTGGTACATGGCAGTGAATGTACAATGATACTGTTGAGTACACAGCGGTACTGGTGAGTATGCCTTCCTTATACTTCCCCAGGTTTGGTTGGCTACAGGTCCATGCTTTTCTCACCACTGTTACAATAAACCTTGTTAAACAAGAAACATCCTCACAATATACAGTAACCAGAGGTTCCTGAATCTCCCAAAAAATCTAAAGTGAGAGTTTTTATTGTAACTAAACTTAAATGTCCACAAGTTCTGCTTAGAATTCTGTGGCGATTCCATGGAACGGTTTTGGAATTATTTGTTTTGTATATTTTATTTTCCGCAGCAGAATGATGGGCAGTTCACGGTAATCCAGCTGGTGGGAATGATGAGAGGCATCGCGGCAGGGATGAAGTACCTGTCCGAAATGAACTACGTCCACCGGGATCTCGCCGCACGAAACATTCTGGTGAACAGCAACCTTGTGTGCAAAGTGTCAGACTTTGGCCTCTCTCGCTACTTGCAGGACGATACCTCAGACCCCACCTACACCAGCTCTCTGGTAAGTTCAAATTATAATAATAATAATAATCCTTGCATTTGATATAGCGCTTTTCATGTCAGGAGGACATCCCAAAGCGCTTCACAGAACACACTGTAAAGTGAATTGACTGCATATTTGTGGGCGAACGCGGCAGCCAATTGCGCACAGCAATGTCCCACAAACAGTCGTAGATTGAAAATGACCAATTTATTATTGTTTTTGGTTTTGGAGGGATTTGGACATAACTTTGAGAGAGGCAAAACCGCGTCAGTGGAGGATAAATATATTTTTAATGTGGTCCTTCCTGGGCTTCAGTGAGTAAAGCCCCTTCCCAATGTGAAAGTGAGCCATAGAAACCAGTAACATGCATGGTTTTATGACTGATCTGTGCTGATATATCTAATCTCCGTAAGCAAGCAATAAGGTACTTCATTTAGGTTAGGGAGGGCTTTCCTGTGCTTATCTAATGGGGACAAATTGAGCTCTTATTTAAGAAAGCATCTAGTGTTAGACTTGTTAGATTTTGCAGTTGCCATGGTTACCATATGACAGCCCCTTGCGACTCGCTCGCTAAACGATGATTACCATTACTCACCAGCGGGTAAACCGCCAGAATACATGCAATTGGCATGAAATCAAGGAAACCATATTCTTCTCTGGTTTTGTTAGTACTTAGTTAGGTTGGCTGCAATGAAATGATTATGTGTATTTTCTTCGAACCCATTTATGGGACACATCTGTTCAACGCTCAACAAAAGAGAAGGGTATTGTGAGAAAATGGCTATTTTAAATCAGCCTGTGGCTGAAAAAAAAAGACCTTCAACACTTTGGAATTGTGGAGGGGGGTGTTGGGGTTGTGGCGGGGACACCTTTGAGCTTTTGTATTGAATTGAAATCCGGGGTCCCATTGGGTAGAGGGACAAAGCAGTGCAGCAAGTGCACAAGCCAGCTGAGCCACAACTCGATTACAAATCTCCCTTATTATTCTGATGGCCAAATGGTGCCTTTTGTGGTGTGGCAGATAATTTGAAAGTAGCGCAGCTCATTCAATCGTGCTCTTGTGTGAGTGCTTCTTGAGACCTTAGGTTATTGACTGGCCCATTGTAGTTTATGGCAACTGCTTTTCTTTTGACCGTAAAGCTTTGTGCCGAATGAATATGTATAGACACTAATTAGAAGGTAATATTTCCCTTTTTTTCCCCGATACGCCCGTGCTTCCCTGCACGGTATTTGAAACACATTTACTTCAAAGCCACATCACAGCTGCCAGTGCAAGGCTTTGACAATCTTGACATGTTGCATAATTGTTGAACAATGCACTATTCTGATCCTGACATGTTCGGCGTTTAGTGAAGATAGCTAGTTACCTGGATGGGGAATATTATTTCATTTTACAAATCATTCTCACCGGCCAAGGTAAATAATGCTCAGTTTCCTACACAATGCTGGGTTCAGCAGTTCAGGTTCAATCCTGATTTGGTGAGTTCTCTCCTGTGTATGTTTTCCTTTTGTTTCTATCTAACCGTTTGGTTATTTACTTGGAAATTAGATACGTTTGGTTCAGAAATTCATAACTTGATTTTATCTCCTGATCCTCACAGGAACTGAGATAAATCAACATCTGCAGTGCTCTTGAAAAATGCAGCCGACATAGGGGATTGAGATACCTCTGAGCACTGAATATCATGTAGCTTTGAGATGTGATCAGCAATGCTGCAGTGATAGGCACAGGTACAGAGCAGCACACATTAGAGGCTTCGATAACAGAATAAATATTGGGGACATTATTATTCATTTAGCATAGATCTCTTAAGCTTTCCAGCACTTCATTTGTTCTGGGGATAATGCCAGTTTTGTGTTACTGTATCTGGAGTCTTATAACACTTGCATTTATGATAATACTTTGCCTCATTATGTTGAAATTTTGTAAAGCACAATGTGTAGGAACTAATCTGCACCAACGATGCCTCGTAAACCCTGTGGTAAAGCTTGAACTTTGCAATAAAATAGTTTTCATTTGTAATAAACATGGAAGTAAAGAATATTTTGCAAGTTTATCTTTCTCCCTTCCTCAGATTCCCACTTCTCCTAGTATTTCCTGATCCGCTTTTCTAGCAATAGCTTGAACACCAAAAAAAAATTTGGCTGCGAATATGGAAAACATGTTATGGAACGTAATTCACGCACTCATCCTTATCAGCTTGCTGTGCCAGTGCACTATATTGGAACTATGCACCGCAATGTAGGCAAGATATGGGCTTGTGGTCAGAAATAACTCATGAAACTAAGGCAATCTGTCAGTTCTTTGGATTTGAGCTCTGAATCATTGTGAATCTGATAGAATATATAGGTATGGAAAACCCTACTGCAATATGTGCTGGAGCCTTACGAGATGGTCTGGGGATTTTTCACTGTGTTGCATCCTATTGTTGAATAGCTGAATTATAGATGTTAGGGTGTGGAGCATTCAAGCTCCCAGGCAGTCAGAAAATAGCAATCTCCTGCACAAATATTTGGTTCAATATTCCAAAAGAGTGTTGTTCTCTTTAATTTATTGTGATGCTTTCTACCTTGGGAACACTTCTCCGCAAATTGGTGTGCAATACTTCCAACAAATAGGAAGCTGGCTGCCCTGGGATTTGGATACTGAAACAAACCAATCAATGTATTGATCTGTGGAAGGAAGAGTGAGTACAAACAGACACACACGCACACACACACAAGTACAGATATGCCCGGGCACACAGGCAGAGAGAGTGTTGAGAGTACTGTGTCAGCTGTCTATGACGGGTTGTAGAATGACACAAACTGAATGCCCTCTCTGGGTGAAGCACTGACAGAGACTAGCCATGCGAACCCGTGTGTCAGTCCCTGTATAATTTTAAAGGTTGCTTCATCTGGTTTATGCACAGACATGTCACTTGTGACAGTGATGCAGGTACAGTTGTCTGAAAGCTAGTCCGCTTTGAACAGGCTGTTTGTTCCTTTTTGAATTTTATGCATTTGATTTGGGAGAGGTAGATACTGACTATATTTAACGATTAATTATTAAAGTAGAAAAGGACTCATTTCCGAGACTGAGGATGGGATGCAGTGTTTTACGCAGTGTGGTGGAGCAGGAGCAACATTTTGAGTTTGTATAACCTCATCTTAATTCCCACCCACCCCTAACCTATATTTCTCAGGCAGATCTGCGGATGCTTCAGCTACCATGTTGAGGTGTGACGCTTGAAGCTGTGGAAGATATGCAGACACCAAAACACAAACATAATTCACAAGTTACCACAAAAGGTTAAAAAATGCCATGCAGATAAAGATCTAATCAAACGTTTCATTCTCTGTTGTGAACTGAGGTCATTTTTGAAGTCATTGCGGCAGATAAGATGCAAAGTCAGATCATTTATTCCGAGCTCCACTGTCACGAGTCAGTCCAGCACAGTACATTTTTCACTCCGGTTTAGGTTGAGGTGCTGTGGAAACTGATAACCTGACACGCACGGAACTGAGTAATTCAAATTACATAGTGAGAAACGTATTTTAATTAAACTGGTCTTGCTTCAGTGAGCCACTATTATGTTGGGAATGATGCTGGGCTGAAATGTCCCGTTGACAGTTTGCTCAGTGATGAAAGATCGTGTGAAGCTGATGGATGCCTGTTCTGAAGCCTGAGTTGACCTTTGGGAAATTGGTGAATATTCCTGCACAGTGTTTCCTCTGGAGAATAGACAAGTGGAACAAACTATAATAAGGCTAGATTTATATGCGGTGTCCGTAAGGACTGAGTTGATGCCTCGATAGAGGTCTTTAAGGTCTCAATAAAGGTATTTAAAATGATGCCAGGTATAGAGCACTTGGGTGCAGATAACTACCTGATATGTAGAAACTTGAGATCATAGCTTTCAAATAGAAATGACAACAGCAAATATCAAATGCAGGAGATTTTGTTTTAGGAAAAGGGTGGCAACACATGCAAAACAATCTACCAGCATAGATAGTAGACCAAAAAACAACATGAAAACTCTGTTATAACATACTCTATCATAACACGGGTTTGCTTATTTCATGATTGGGCTCCTCTTCCCCTCTATTCATTCTGATTCATGCATGCATCACGTTTTCTCTTAAGTTTTCTTGTTCAATGCTTCCTAACATGAAGCTTGTACCTGATGCTTTGAGATTTGTTGCAAATCTTCCTTCTCACCACTATCTGGCTCCTTTCTTTGATCAAACATGTATTCAGTTGCCTTTCAGAACTCATTTCACCAAGTGAAAGGTTAATTCAGACATGTTTTAAAAGCAATGGACCTATTCACAAAGTGTCAAGTAAATCTTAAAGTAAATCCTTTACCGGTGGTTGAAGGACGTTTTGATGTAGGAGGCCCTACGATCACGGTTACTTTAAGAGAATAGTGGGAGGATAGGCAGCAATCACAGCACAGAGCAGGATGTGTAATATGTGGAAAGCACCTGAGAGGATATTGATTTTATATTTCTTATGGTAGATTGTCCATCATGCGCACTCATTTAAAGGTCAAGACAACAATTATTGATGGAGAATGGGGCAGAAAACCACTATGAGTGGAGTGCTGTGAGCAAGCAGAGAAAGAGAGAGCAAAGAGACAGTGACAATGTGTGTCCCTATGTTACTTTTCAGATCAGACTTTGAAATAGTTGCAGGTTTGAAGCAAAGGCACCCATGTGAGGCTGTGTTATGCCAAATGCTTGTCGATTCTTAGGACTGGAGGACAGATGTGTCTTGCACATCATAATTTACAGTTCCTGTGATATTTCTTAATGGAATTTCTCTAATAATATTTAAAAGATTTTAAAGCTTTAAAATATTGAATTTAATTTGAATTCCAGGAATGCCCATTGCCCACTGGAACTCTGCCACAATCAGAATTTCAAACAAAGTCAATTGCCTTCAGCGGAGTGGAGTAAAATTCGGCAGAAATGTAATGGTAACACTGGTTGCTCTTCACACCTTCCTCTGCTAGGCTACCTAACGTGCAGATTTT